CTACTCTGATTCTCGTTAAAGTCAGCGTGGAAATACCATAATAATCCAATTAACTAATATAATTAATATAATACATTCAATAACATAATTAAATAAAATAATAATTTCGCCTCTGTCGCAATTTTTGCAAATCGAAAGACGAGACGGAAACCGTCGACGCAGTTGTTACGGTGCGAAATTATTCATTCGGGCTCCTAGAAGAATTCTATTTCCGCAGATTTTGCAAACTCTCGCGTGTATAAACGGCGAATTGTTAGCTGCGGGATGGGCGTTCATTAACGAGGACGGTTCGGATCTGTTATAATTGCGAAAGGACAGATAACGGGCTGAGAACGCAAGTAGCAGGTTCAAGGTATAGCCGGCCAAAGTGATGTACCGCAAGGCTGATACTCACGTCTTTTAGCAGGGCAACGATAATTCTTTCGGCAGCTGGTATAAAATACGAACGGACCGTTATCACCGTCCAGACTCGAAAAGACGTTCGCCGGAGTTCCCAGTCGAAACGAAGATTTCCTCCTAGACGTGATCGCCGAAGGGATGAAGCACAAAATGGTATCGGAGAACGGTATACTTAGCGTGTTATTGCGCGTTCCTTGTCATCAATCGTGCGTTCGGTCGTCATTAATATCAACATTATTATTATCATCATTAATATTATTATTATTATTACGATTATTATTATTATTATTATTATGGGAGAACGGTATACGTAGCGTGTTATTGCGCGTTGCTTGTCACCAATCGTGCGTTCGGTCGCCATTATTATCATCACCATCATTATTTTATTATCATCATTATTAATATTATTATTATTATTATTATCGGAGAACGGTATACATAGCGTGTTATTGCGCGTTGCTTGTCATCAATCGTGCGTTCGGTCGCCATTATTATTATCATCATCATTATTATTATTATCATTATTATTATTATCATTATTATTACTATGATTATTATTATTATTATCGGAGAACGGTATACGTAACGTGTTATTGCGCGTTGCTTGTTATCAATCGTGCGCTCGGTCGCCATTATTACCATCACCATCATTATTATTATCATCATTATTAATATTATTATTATTATTACTATTATTATTATCATTATTATCGGAGAACGGTATACGTAGCGTGTTATTGCGCGTTGCTTGTTATCAATCGTGCGCTCGGTCGCCATTATTACCATCACCATCATTATTATTATCATCATTATTAATATTATTATTATTATTACTATTATTATTATCATTATTATCGGAGAACGGTATACGTAGCGTGTTATTGCGCGTTGCTTGTTATCAATCGTGCGCTCGGTCGCCATTATTACCATCACCATCATTATTATTATCATCATTATTAATATTATTATTATTATTACTATTATTATTATCATTATTATCGGAGAACGGTATACGTAGCGTGTTATTGCGCGTTGCTTGTCATCAATCGTGCATTCGGTCACCATTATTATCATCATTATCATCATTATTATTATCATCATTAGTATCATTATTATTATCATTATTATCGGAGAACGGATTACGTAGCGTGTTATTGCGCGTTGCTTGTCATCAATCGTGCGTTCGGTCGCCATTATTATCATCATCATTATTATTCTTATCATCATATATTATTATTATTACTATTATTATTATCATTACTATCGGAGAACAGTATACGTAGCATGTTATTGCGCGTTGCTTGTCAACAATTGTGCGTTCGGTCGCCATTATTATCAGCATTATTATTATCATCATTAGTATTATTATTATTACGATTATTATTATTATTACTATCGGAGAACGGTATACGTAGCGTATTATTGCGCGTTGCTTGCCATCAATCGTGTGTTCGGTCGCCATTATTATCATCATTATCATCAGCATCATCATCATCATCATCATTATTATTATTATCATCATTAGTATTATTATTATTATTATTATTATTATTACTGTTATTATTATCATTATTCATTACTCGTTCGCTAATAACAGATAAAAAAAGGAGTAGAACTGCTACGCGATTAAAAGTGATCGCTTCAGAAATATTGGCATTCAAAAAAGTACCTAATCGTCGCAGAACGTTGTCCGAGCAACGATTGTGACATTTTTCGCAATGCCTTAAATGTAGTTTCATTCGGTTTGTTGGTCGACTCGGTATTGCATAACAACGTTCAAATACTTGCGACAGAATAAATTCTCATAGTCGTCGGTGTTTGTCGCGTCGATTATTATTGGACCGCGGATATATTTACGCATTTACAAACAAATTAAGTACGATTAAAAATTAGTTTAATACGTTCGATGTCGCGTGGGTGGTCGCGTACGGGCGATTTAAATAATAATTATTATAAAAAATAATAATAATTATAATTTTTAACCAGGCTTTTGAAATTCGTTTTCGTTGTAGTATATCGAAGAAATCGAACGTCGCTAGGATTTGTAGAATACAAAATAACCGAACTAATTATTTCCGGCGGAAAATTTGCACTTTCTAGTTTCGATTTCATCGATTGAATGATTTTTATATCGCGTGAGTTTTTCGAGTTGTGATATTCGGCGCTTAGCGCGTTAAAATCGTAACAAAATTTGAACAATTCGAGTGTACCGATTCAACAAGTTTTAGCTTGTCGATGCTGTTGCTTCTTGCAGTGGATGCCGGAAACGGTTGCTTTCGCGCGAAGATCCGCGGTCCAGTTGTCACTAATCGTCCAGTTTCTAATCGAGAAATTTACAAATTATAATAAAAAGTTTGCAAATTTTATTACATAATATTATATAATAATAATAATATTATATTTATAATATTATTTTTATAATAATATTATATTTATGATATTATATTTATAATATTATTTTTATAATAATATTATATTTATGATATTATATTTATAATATTATTTTTATAATAATATTATATTTATGATATTATATTTATAATAATATTACATTTATAATAATATCATATTTATTATATATAGTTCGTAAAATTTTAGTTACATAATATATATAATTTACAAATTAATTTATTCGCTCGGTCCATCCGATTATTATCTGCTAATTTATTAACGACCGTGCGTTTTCAGACGGAAATGTCCGGGCTCGTTTTCTTCGCAATTCTGATGCTCCACGGTAGCAGCATTTCAACGGCGAAGCCGCTCGATGCCGAAGACGTGGCGAGTTTGCTGCCGCCGACACCTCGAGACAAGAACGAAACGATCGCCGCGGTCGTTCAGGATCCAGTTATTCAGGATGCTGTACACCAAACCGCCAGCAATAGCTCGCTGAATGGTCTCGTCGTTAAAAGGAAGGTTTACATTCTACCAGCTAATGATCCAAACAAGGTCCGTATACACGGCTATATAGAACGACGCGCAAACACACACACGCGCGCGCGCGCGCGCGCTGTTTCTATAACGCGCGCAGATCGCGGATCTTTTTAACGTCTAATTAAAATTATACGCAGTCCGGCGAACATTTATTACCCGGATTAATGCTCCAGTCGATCAAGAAATCCGATTCGGTTTGAACGTTGTTAAAATACTCAAACAGCAGGAGTTCATATCGAGTAGCAGTTTAATCGCATACGCGTACTTAATTGTTATAGTTTAGATTGGACGTGTTTCCAATCGACGATTTTCTCCGTTAGGATGTGCGCAGACCTTCGTGGAATTTTTTAAAAATCGAAATCGGTACGTTCGTTTGATAAATTAACGGGTTCAGCGCCGACAATAGGCCGTTAAAATTCCCACGAAGTCGAAGCAATTTAATTGACCTCTTTGCGTAGCATTTTCTTCGCAGTTGCTGCGATTAGAAATTTATCGATTGCGATGATTTCTTAGAAGGGAAAGAAAATCGATGATTATCGTGTGCTTAAACTTATTTGAATGCTTAAATATTGGCGACAATAGATTCGAATTTCATTCGAGAATTTCGAAGGACAGAATAGAAATGTTAATCAATGAATTAATTTTGTGATTTAAGTTATTAATTTTAATAATTACTTTTAATAATTACCTTTAATAATTAATTTTAAAACCAGTTAACCGTGGCGATCTCTTTGCAAAGCGCCCACCAGTGTGTGTCGCGATAATCAAGCGACGACGATTGTGAGTTAGCTCTCAGAAAGTTATGAGTCCAACTGAAATTATTTATAATTTTCATTTATTCGTTTCATTTCTTTCTTGATCTCTGAACATTTTAAATATATTAAAATTCACACACGAATATAATTTAGTTTTCGCTAGAATTACAATTTAAATATCAAATTGTAACAAAATTTTACGAATGACGGATATAATCGTCATGACACAAAATTCTGCCACATGTCCATGACGGATATAGTCGTCAAACACACTTAACTGATTAATAATCNTATTATATTTATAATATTATTTTTATAATAATATTATATTTATAATATTATTTTTATAATAATATTATATTTATGATATTATATTTATAATAATATTACATTTATAATAATATCATATTTATTATATATAGTTCGTAAAATTTTAGTTACATAATATATATAATTTACAAATTAATTTATTCGCTCGGTCCATCCGATTATTATCTGCTAATTTATTAACGACCGTGCGTTTTCAGACGGAAATGTCCGGGCTCGTTTTCTTCGCAATTCTGATGCTCCACGGTAGCAGCATTTCAACGGCGAAGCCGCTCGATGCCGAAGACGTGGCGAGTTTGCTGCCGCCGACACCTCGAGACAAGAACGAAACGATCGCCGCGGTCGTTCAGGATCCAGTTATTCAGGATGCTGTACACCAAACCGCCAGCAATAGCTCGCTGAATGGTCTCGTCGTTAAAAGGAAGGTTTACATTCTACCAGCTAATGATCCAAACAAGGTCCGTATACACGGCTATATAGAACGACGCGCAAACACACACACGCGCGCGCGCGCGCGCGCTGTTTCTATAACGCGCGCAGATCGCGGATCTTTTTAACGTCTAATTAAAATTATACGCAGTCCGGCGAACATTTATTACCCGGATTAATGCTCCAGTCGATCAAGAAATCCGATTCGGTTTGAACGTTGTTAAAATACTCAAACAGCAGGAGTTCATATCGAGTAGCAGTTTAATCGCATACGCGTACTTAATTGTTATAGTTTAGATTGGACGTGTTTCCAATCGACGATTTTCTCCGTTAGGATGTGCGCAGACCTTCGTGGAATTTTTTAAAAATCGAAATCGGTACGTTCGTTTGATAAATTAACGGGTTCAGCGCCGACAATAGGCCGTTAAAATTCCCACGAAGTCGAAGCAATTTAATTGACCTCTTTGCGTAGCATTTTCTTCGCAGTTGCTGCGATTAGAAATTTATCGATTGCGATGATTTCTTAGAAGGGAAAGAAAATCGATGATTATCGTGTGCTTAAACTTATTTGAATGCTTAAATATTGGCGACAATAGATTCGAATTTCATTCGAGAATTTCGAAGGACAGAATAGAAATGTTAATCAATGAATTAATTTTGTGATTTAAGTTATTAATTTTAATAATTACTTTTAATAATTACCTTTAATAATTAATTTTAAAACCAGTTAACCGTGGCGATCTCTTTGCAAAGCGCCCACCAGTGTGTGTCGCGATAATCAAGCGACGACGATTGTGAGTTAGCTCTCAGAAAGTTATGAGTCCAACTGAAATTATTTATAATTTTCATTTATTCGTTTCATTTCTTTCTTGATCTCTGAACATTTTAAATATATTAAAATTCACACACGAATATAATTTAGTTTTCGCTAGAATTACAATTTAAATATCAAATTGTAACAAAATTTTACGAATGACGGATATAATCGTCATGACACAAAATTCTGCCACATGTCCATGACGGATATAGTCGTCAAACACACTTAACTGATTAATAATCAATTTTAGTGGCTAATTTTAATTAAACCGAAACCAGAAAGTTAAAATTTATTACAGCGGATAACGTTAGAATTCCGTCGCGTCCGAAACGTTCCAGTCAAATTCAGTTCGTTCGATTATATTATATATATATATGTATACTATTGTATGTATATAATATATATCATTAATATATTAATTAATAATATTATAATATTATTATTATTATTATTGACACTTAGCCAACCGAATGAATGATTAATGAAAAATTGAAAATGATTGCTTAATTTTATTAAGATTTGCAAGAGGTTACGAATGCTGAAGAAGTAATCGATGCCATATAAGTTTGCTTAGTAATTTTTGTTCAATAAAATGAAATATTTTAATTTTGTGAAAATTTTTGAGGTCTCTAGCGTGGTCGTGGAAGTGTTAATTATAATATATATTATTTATATGTTATTAATAATATATTATTATAATATTATTATTATATATATATTATATATATGTTATTAATAATGTATTATCATAATATTATTATATATATTATATATATGTTATTAATAATATATTATTATAATATTATTATTATATATATATTATATATATGTTATTAATAATGTATTATCATAATATTATTATATATATTATATATATGTTATTAATAATATATTATTATAATATTACTATTATATACATTATTTATATGTTATTAATAATACATTATTATAATATTATTATTATATATATTATATATATGTTATTAATAATATATTATTATAATATTACTATTATATACATTATTTATATGTTATTAATAATACATTATTATAATATTATTATTATATATATTATATATATGTTATTAATAATATATTATTATAATATTATTATTACATATATTATATATATGTTATTAATAATATATTATTATAATATTATCATTATATATATTATATATATAACGAAAATGAACGTTCAAATTTGGTCAAAAATTAGTGTCACCCGCACATAACCGACGCAGCTCTCGTCCTATAAAAAATCATGTCACGTTCGCGACGAAATGAAACGTCTGTCGAACATTTATTCAAGAAGTCCACGAGCGGAAGACGAAGCGGAAGACGAAGGAAGAATGTCCACCGATAACGTAACGTTTCTTTTAAAGATCATCTCGGCACGCGAACACATTCTGGTGGTGCCGACCGAGAATCTGGAGGACGTGCGAAAGAACATCACGGAAACGAAGCAGGCGGAAGCTGCGTTGATCGAGTCCTCCTCGGTGGACAATCGATTGCTGGCCGAAGGCGAGCAGGCGGATGACTACGTGCCGCAGGTAGAGAACGATAATTCAACGGAGATCCGATCGATTCTGATCGTAATCTGCGATAAAGCGCGGGTTGCGCAATGCGAATAGTGCACGAAAAAAAATCATCGCGGATGAGATCTGTTCTCGCGCGCGATTCGGCGAACGAGCGACGACACGCTGTTACGTAAAATTCGGATAAGCGACGCGTCCCGATGCGAGTCCGACCGAATTGTGTACGTTCGATCTTCGGTTTACAGGGTGACTCAACCCCCGGCTTCCGGGAAAACGACGGCGCGCTGGGCCAGAACGCGTTCGCGGATGCGGGAATCGAGCAGATACCGGTGAACGGTGATCGTAAAATCGAGTCCGAGTTCCTGGAACAGAAGCTGAGCCAACGTGCACCGTTGCCGGAAGAAGACTCGAGGAAGGTGGCGGTCCCCATAGTGGCGGTCATCGACCCTTCCAGCGTCAACAATGGCAAAGTGGACACTCCCATAGTGGCGATTCTGCCGAACCAGCTGTCCGGCAACACCGTCGACAAGCAGGTCCAATTTTTGAAGGACAACAGCGACAAGATCCAGGAGAAAACGCAGAACTACATCGATCGGTCCTCCTTGACCGTTAATCCCGATTACTGGAAGACGTCGACGCTCGGGTCGGAGGTAAACGCATAAAAATCTCCTAAACACGAGCGTAATCGTATGGAATTTTTGGTAGCGGCGTAATATTAGAAGATTTTGTTCGAAATAAATAACCGAATCGACGATAATTCGGTCACTTGTTATTTTCATTCGCGCGTCAGGCTCGAAAGGCTCGGAGGGCTCGAAAAATCCGTTCGCAATTTCGGGGAATCGTTATTTATGCCCCAAAATTATGGCACTTCCGGGAAATGAGGGGTTCCTGAGGAGATTTGAAGCAACTTTTTCCTTAGCGAAAATGTTCTACGAGGCACCGTTCGCGAGTTATTAAAGAAGAACGCTGACCAATGAGAGAGGTGAGCACGCCCGGCGCGAGGCAGTCGAGCCAATCGGCGGAGCTAAGCTTCGACCGCTCGTTGGCTCGGCCGCCTAGCGCCAGGCGAGCTGACCACTGTCAGACAAAATCAAACTTTTCTTCTGGGTTCCTATAGCCACTATGAAATTCTTGTAGAGCTTCACTCCCTGAACAAGAATCCGAAAACCGAATTGCTCCATCACCCTCAGTTTTTTAAATAAACGAACTTTTGTAAAAACCCAAAATTTTCGACAAAAATGAGGTATTGCATGAAAAGTACAAACGTTAGAAAGTTCTAATCGGTGTTAAAAGATAGAGGAGAGTTTCCCGAATATAGTGGCATGCAATTTATTAATTGTTTTTGGTCCTAAATAGCAATGAATTGATGTCAAAGTTTAAAAAAGTGTCGACGTGAGCAGTTTCTGCGCAATATTTTTGTATTTTTACGAAAAGTTCTTTGTTCATTACGAAAACTCTATCCAGGATCGGATTCTGTAGACATTTCTGAAGAAGAAACGGCCTGATAGAAGAGTCAGAACGATGTATATTTTGAGTAGGTCGAGAAAATGTTTGTCGACAACATGTACACGACGTTTTGCCGCCATGTGCTCCGCTGCTCGCTTCTCTCTGTCCGACAGGGCCGAGGCTATGGGTAATCAACACCGATGGAGGGATCCAATGGGGCACCCACTTAACGTGTGGGGCGTGCCATTTT